TTTGTACTTGATAGATGATTTGGTGCATCAGTTAATATATTGTAAAAAAAAGTTTTTTTCTTTTGTTGTACATGTGTAAATATGTAATTAAGTTTAAGTGCATACCTTATACATTCGAGAAAAAAATTAAACTTCGATGAAACTAACTATTAACGTGCGAGAGTGGATATTCTATAAACGACAGTTTAATAAACATAATGGTATATTATTATAAGTAATGTAATAATTTAAATTAATCTTAAAAATCTATTATTAAAATTGAAATGTTGACATATATTACAAAGGAGTTGATGCTATAGTTGCAAATAAAAATATATTATTTTATAATATAAAGTCATCCCGTTATCGTTAGAACAAAAAAACCTTGCAGAAAACACTTCATTATTTAAAACTTAATACTCTATGAAATTCAACGACGTTCAGTTCAATAGGTTAACTTATAAACTTGGGATAAAACAATACGTATTATAATTTTATAGCTGGTTTCCATTTCATGCATTTGGAGATGTGCCTAATTTGCAGTCTTCTCCTTTAAACTATTAACATTAAATTTTCAGCGATAGTATTAATGGAAGTTTTCTCTGCGCAGTGCTTATTTATTTTTATACAATTTCATTTTATTTTTATAATAATCAGGTGTCTGCGTAAATTTGATTATAATGACCCATTCTTGCCAAAAAATATATTCATTATCTCAATTTCAAGCCGTTATTGTGATGATGGTTATAATTAATCATTTAATAATTCGAGAAACTTCTATAATATCAGTTTGTATCGTCATTACTTATGCATTAAATTACTATAATATATACTTATTATTCGTAATATTCTCTCATTTTTAATGTTTTTAAATATTTGTCGCACTCTCGAACTTTATGAATAATCTTCTTTGTGAAACTATTATATAGGCACCTATTAATATATTAAAACTAATTGAAAAATGGTTGATCAATGTACAATATTATAAGTATCTAATGGAAATACAAAGATCTAAAAACATACTTATACTATGTTCACCTACAATAATAATTAAAACAATGAATTTAACATGGATGTATTTTGTGATAAACGAAATAAAAACCATTTGTAAAATTACTTGTAATGACCAGTTACTTGGTTAGCATATATGTGATATAAACTTATMAATTAACACTATTTCACTGCGTTTATTTGGTACTATATTAACGATTGAAAATTAAAAATCGGGTAAGTAGACGTCGCTCTATTGTAAAGTAGTTTACAGAGTTACTGTAATGGGTGGTATTAAATTTGAATTCAATGATATGATATCATTGTTTACAAAAATGACTTTGAACGAAGAGTTTTGTCAGTTATACATTTTATACTATATTAAATATATTATTATATTTTCAAAAACAAA